CTGATTGTAACAGTGCTAAATTACAGTGTAACTTCCCAAGAGTGTCCTCACAGGTTATTTATACTGTAACACATAAAATCATTCCATTAGTGAGGTGGCTATTTTTGTAATCAGTTTTGAAGAATGTGCTCCATCATCGGAAATGTTTTGATTTAAGTGCATATTGAGGAGCAGTCTAAAAGTTACACTCTGAATTACTCCTTAAAATAAGTCACCTGGTACATTCATGCAGTGTGGGTTGCATGTTGGCTCTGCGTAATTAAATTCTTGTCTAAAGTTGTCATTAAGTTGCAGTAAATATCGAAGCCGGCATCATTTTAGAATTAGATTTACTTCTTCATTTTATCTGATGAATATTCAGCAATGGAAAATTAATTAAAACGTGCATGCATACGTATAAGAGGGTTGGGCTGGTGGTTTCAGCTGATGGAGGAGCCAGACTGACAACAGCCTCTGCCAGCCTGGAGATAGCTGGGGGAAGTGCAGAGAAAGGCACAAGGTACTGCACAAGGCTTGTTGGGGGATGGAAACCTCAGGCCCTCTCCCTCCTTCTCCTGCTCCTAGGTCAAAGATAACACCAGATTTCTTTACTAACTAGTGAACCCCTAGACTTCCTATGAATAAAGAAAATTGGGCAAATTTGGAGGCTGGCAATAATCTTCTATGTGCTGAAGCCATCATGAGTGCAACGCTACCATTGAATGAAAGGAATAGGGAAATCTCACTAGCAGACTAGGAGATAGGAGTCCTTTAGAGAATATAAAAAACAATGATGGTTTTTAGAACCTTGATGGAACAGAGAGAGTTGATGGAAAAGGAAGTCTCAAAAAATCCCTTTATCTCCAGAAAAGCTCAGGTGTGCATTCCTTCTTACCAGTCACTTGGGTATCCATGCTGCATTCTCATGCTATAAATGACTCAGCTGAAGAATCTTCAGTTGCAACATTCATCTTTTTGAATCTTAATTAGTTTGTAAGAAATCAGGCTTGATTACTTTCAGTGCTCACAAAAGCAATTGTGATTTTTCTGGAACGTGGACAGGCAAATTGCTGTGATGACATATATATCCGATGCGTCTTCCAGGAATCTCTCTCTCCTTGCATGACTGTTTGAGTCTCTCCATCTCCCAAATGTATGCTTGTTTGACATTTTTATAACTAACAGGTGTTTTATGTAGCTTTGTTAGAGCCTCAGACTTTCTCAAGAAAGTGAAAAAAGGGTTTGTCATTACCTGGTCTGCTCTGATTGACATTATCTTAAACCATCTCCAAATTTCTTTCCACTCACCTCCACAACTCTTTCTGCAGGCTGTCCTCCAACTTTTCTTCATATCTGTGTGGTTATCTGTTAGAAAACTGTTACTTAGATAGACTTTTTAATGAGTTATATTATCAGCATTTGACACTCTAATGCAGTTTACTCAAACTTTCTTGATCTCTATAAATTTTTGTCAGTGATGTGGAGCATCTCATAAATTTCACATGCATAGATTGTTGTACAGCATATATGATCTTGCTGTTCTCATTCACCCTGCACGCCTCCTTCAAAGGCAGGCCAGATATCCCCCTCAACGTCTACAGATTACAGATTGCACAGCCTTACCACATCAAATGCCATATCCTTAAATGTCAGGAGTGGATGACTTATGCCGTAGAAAATATCTGAGTTTAAGAACTAAACTAAACCAGAAGTGAATGTAAATTTGAAACCTAGGAGATAGCTCCAATCTTCTGTATAGGGGCAAGAAGTCTGATGTGGAAGCCTTAACAGGACAAGATTCCTAACAGTTGTATTATAAATGCAACCTTTTTCCATCAGAAACTTCAAAAAATGTGCGTAAACAATTTCTGATAAACGCAGTGCTCTTTTAGTAGATTTATGTGCTAAAGACAAGAACTACTTACAATAATGAAATGCAATGGGCTCAATTCTCTGCTTGCCTGAGTCACTCCATTACCTCCAGAGCTGGAAGGAAATTGCAGCAGGAGGAGAATCAGGCCCTTAATGGTCTGCAGGCTGCCATGCTGCCGTTACACGCAGACAATAGTCAAAGAAATTTATATTTAGTTCCACGAGAACAGTACATTAGGTATTCCTAAGTGTTTTATGAGGCAGGACTTTTCTGACTATTCTGACAAAAACAAGCATGCGTAGGAACCGGAGCTTTGAGCAAATATTGCAGTTATGATTTACAGCACAATTGCCGGAGTCCTCCTGGCTTCATCCTTGATGGCTACTTACTCAGGCTGTCATTTTTAGCTCCACAGATTCTATCTGCTATGGCCTCTTCTACAAACACTGGATTCACTGGAGTGTGGTACAAACAATGCAGCTCTCAAACAATGAAGCATTTGTGTTCATTTTCTTCTATTTTATCTTTGGAATTCTACTATTTAGGTCACTATCTGTTGCTTCCAGCTATTCTTTCCTGACAAATTGTAGCTCTTTTTAGGCTTAAAAAAAAGATATAATCAATGAATTCATCTATGTTATTCCTCTGGGTATAAAGGTCTAGATGTAATAAGTGGTACACATAGTATAAGATTACATTGCCATTCCTGAAGTGCAGCCCCAAGATTAATTGTGCTTTGTAGACCAAAACTTTGAGAGCTGCTGGATTCTTGCCTCTTTGAAAATCTGACATAAATAACGCAATAAAAAAAAGTCACCAAATTTCTCAAATGCTTTAAACAGGGTCCATTCACCAGCATGAACTGAAAGGTTGTGTATGAATAGATGTATTTTCTAAAATATACAATTTTAGATATAGGTAAGAATAATGATGAATAGGTTCTTTACTCCGCTATACCTGTCTATGTAAAATAAAAAATCAGCACAGGTTTTAGCTGAAAAAGATAATCCTTGTATTTTAGTGAGAAACATCCCTCACAGCAAGATTATTTCAAAGCCCATGAAATAAAAGTTATACTCAGGTATGGGGACATACAGGATTTCCATTTCCATTTAAACTGAAGCCTACTGATTGCTCATGTAAAAATTACTGTGCTCTGAATGAAATGAAGATGAGTCCTTAAGCAAACAGTCATAAATTAATTTATAATGAAACATGACAGTCATAATTTAATTTGGGATGTATTTAAGATTGTTGTTACTATTCGTATAGGTCCTTTTTGCCTGGAGGAAGATGTGGCTTCATAGTGGAACGCCAGCTATTGAAATACCAAACTTTTTACATGTACATGTGTATTAATTAATTACAATCATGTAGATACTTTCCTAATGAAGAACTGTTGTTTCCTGCAAGCAGTGAGACAAGAGCTTGCATGACTGAGGCTGGCACACGCAGTATGGATGGGTTGCCAAGAAGGGTGCCGAGCAAAATGTGCAGAATCTGTTGGGTTGTGGGGCTGCTTCTCCCCTTCCTTCCTCAGGGTGAGCAGAAAGGGTGGATCAGGGCAGCAAGCAGGAAGAATGCAGGTTTTGTGCTTCTCATCTGGTCCACGTAGATTCCAAGCTGCCCGTGTACATCACAGCAGCTGTCTGGGCCCAGCACCACAGCCCTGCAGTTTCTGTTCAGCTGATGGCTGGTTTTGTCAGCGCAGAACTGAAAGGCACTTTGGGCACCTGAAGTCTGAGCTGCCCTTTCTGTCTGGCCTGTGCCCATTGGGGTAGCTGTACCCCTACGATGCTGTTTGTTCAATGTGGGATTAGGCTAGGTTAAGCTCTTGCCTGCCCACTGCCATGTCTTAGGATCATGGAATATCCCAAGTTGGAAGGATCACTGAGTCCAACCCCTGGCTCCATGCAGCACCACCCAAACCCGACGTTGCTGCCCTCCGCTCCCTGCGAGGAGCTGCAGCCGCCATGGTGCCTCCCCTCAGCTCCTCTGCTCTGCACTGAGCAAACCCAGGGCCCCCACTGCTCTGCCTGCTGGGCTGCTCTGTGTTCAGTATTCTAGGAAGGATATGAATGTGGTGTTTTTTTTTCTTTTCTGAGATAAAAATACCTGGCAGGTGGAATTTTGCTGTTGATATTGTAGATGTTGATATTCTTTGTAGTTATTCCTATGCCAAAATGAGTCTTGCTTTTGCCTTCACTGAGTCCACCCATGAAACTGTAATTGCTTTTCACTTTGACCAGAGATTCCAATAAAAGTGGTATAGAAAGGTTCTAATTTTAAACCAAGAAACAATTTCTCTGTTTCTAATAGCACGAAGTCACAAAAAGACTCTTTAGTTTGTTAATTGGAAGATGATACAGTAGGGCATTTTGGGATAGCAAGGTTGTGACCAGAAGAGTCTTATTTAGTCTTGACAGCAGTTAAGAAACCACGATCCCAAAAAACTTGTGATTTCTATTTGGAAAACAGTGTTTAACAAAGGCCAAATTAAAGGCCTTGCATTGGAGCATCTATGCCAAAAAATAGGTATTTATGAAAAGAAGAAGTCAAAGCCCGACTGTAATGATTATGTTAATGGGGGAGAGCAGTAGATGCACTAGCTGTAAACTGTCAAAAAGATGTTTCACGCTTACTAGCAAATACCCTTCAATCATGGTTATGCAGCACATAGGAAGTGACCAGGTAAGCAAGTGACAGTAATTCATCAAAAGGTTGATTGCATCTTCCTCCAATTGCAAAGGGCTCTTCGCATATCTCTTCTAAGAACAGAATTCCCCTCATTGTGCACTAAGGTCTTTTCTGCAGCTCCAAGGACAAGTGGGATGGTCAGATCAGTAACAGGATGAGCAAGTGCTGGGTCAGACCAGCATCATTTCAGGACAGCCCCAGTGCCTTACTATTGCCTGTGCCTGAGATCCCTTCATCATCAAACTCTTACTGGGATAAATACAGTGTTTGCAACCATGACTTAGTTGGGTTTCATGTGTCTGTCATATGGACCTGCAAATCTAAACTGTTAGAACACTGCCAGCAGAGGTTCCACAGCACGCTATTTTATGTTATCTGATCTGTTAAGTGTGTCATTGTGGTGAAGTTTGCTGAAAGGCTGAAACCATTTTTTCTGGGTTAACTTTTTCAGATCAGGAAGCCGATCCAACTCATCATTTGTTGCAACGGCTGGAGCTGGCAGGACAGGGAACTGCAGCCAGAAACTGCAAGTAATGCTCATTTGGCACCAATATGATCTTTGGTGGACATCAGGATTTGATTTTATAATGCACTAATTAGCACCAACGATGGTGGTTAATACAAAAGCACCTTCAGTAGTTTGAAAAACAACACAGCAGAGTATTTATTCCAGGACCCAACTGCAGATGGTCATGCTTAGAACCACCTAAGCATCCTATGGAAAGGATTTTTAGTTTAAACTGACCACGGGAAGTGGTTTGCTACCACTATAGGTAGAAAAGTGAGGCGTAGAGTAACTGAATAAAACCCAAAACTGTAAGGTAAAGTCAATAGAGAATTCCCATTGCGCCTCCTTTTACCAATTTCTCCAGTATTTTTCAGAACACACTAGAGAAATATTAAAAAAAAAAAAGAAGTTTAATAACAATTTACAAATATACAATACTTACATTTTCCAAAGTTACAAAAATGGTACATTTAACAGAAACCAAAAGCTTCATCTGACCTTTGGTACATTTCAAAGTTAGTTATTTACAAAGAAAAATCACAGTCACTTTTCATAGTGTCACATGTTTACATGTAAGCATCCCTCAGTTAAAAAACATCTCACAGCTTACCCACAGGCCCTTTTTGCAGTTTGAGCTCTGCACCCATCTATCACATTGAGAATTCTATCAGCCCCCGTTAAGCTGACATGACATTGCATTATTATGTTTTAACAGACTTCAGTTTGAAGAATATGTATAACCATCATGCTGAACTGATTCACAGTTGGTGACATTTCACCTGGTGCATTTTGTATTGCTTACGGCTTGGTACAATGACAGAGACTTCCCTTTCTAATTAGCTTGTAACATGTTAAGAAACAAAAATGGACTAGCTTTATTAGGTAGGACAATTCCATCTCTTCGTAGAGGAAATTAAAAACAAAAGCGTTCTTCCCTTGCTTGTTATTTCACCTCATGAAATTTGTATATTAAACCCTTTCTTCACCATGCACAATTTTTGCCTAAAGGTAACAAACAGATCAAGGCTTCCAAAATCTATTCATTTCTATGACTTTTTTAGTTTGCACTTATTTTAACTCAAACTTTAGAAATTTCCCTTGAGAGCAAACACAAGTATTGCATTGTCTGCGTGTGCTTTGAGTGTCATCCTTTAGCTTAAAATATTTCCAGTGAAAGAAATGCAGCCAAAATACATACAGCCCATTTTTGAAGCCTCTTAATTATTAGCGTGCACCATTTTTTTCATGTGGTCATGATTTTTAGAGCATGTAAGTCCAGTGCCTAACAGAATGGGAACTCAAAAAGCCTGGAAATTCATTGTTTTGAGGACAGTGTGGGACTACACGTTTCCCACAGGTTTGTTTTAATTAAGACTAAATGCCACCAGGATATCAGTAACGGCTCAGGATCAGGATCTTTTTTTCAATCAAGAAATAAGAAAAGCTTGCTGTCAGCAACCATGGGTGCAGTTTAAAATGTCTTCCATCGTTACAACTTTGCCCTCCCAAGAACTTAGAAACTCCAGTCAAACTGAAGCATCTTTTAAGAATGCCTGCATTCTGGATTTCCTTCGTGCAAGAGCTTCTTGTTTTTTTCTTTCAATTTCTTCTTGAGAACATTTTCTGTGTTTCTGTTCCACCATAGACACTGTAAATAAAAAACACACATTTAGGACCCTACAACTTTTTTTTTGTTTGTTTGTTTTGTTTTTTCCCATATTTATTTCAACTCATCTGTTTTCAGTGTGTGAAGATACATAGCAAGAGCACACTATTGTGACATGCCAGGCACCCAAGCCCATCTATCCTGTCCCCAGGGCAGAAGGGGGATAAGATGCATGACCTTTGCAGTGCTGCTGATTACTACCTCACAATGAAGGTATGGGGGGGGTGCAGACATTTGCTTCAAGGAAATTTTAGTTGGCTGCCCTTCAAGTGAACCTTGTGACACAAGGAGTCAACACAGGAGACGGCAGTGGGTTAAGAAAATTAAGGCTATTGGAATGAAAAGGGCTCTACAATTTAGTGAGTTAGAGAGATGGGCATCGAGATGGTATAGACACAGGGTCAGATATAGTACAGGTGTCACACAAATAAAACCAGAAAGGTTGAAAAAAGGTCAGAAGGAGCAATAAAAATTGTCAAAGGAGACAAGAACATGATAGCTAAACGTAATATTTTATATGTTGTGTTACAGAACTATAAATTCCTGTACAATAAAATCCTGACCTCATTGGAACCAACAGGAAGGCTCCCATCATTCTTCAGGTCAAGAATTTTACCATTTTTATGCACCCATTTTCAATTAATGTATTCATAATAAGTAGTTTTCCAGACTGGATAAACACAACAAAGGCTCAATTTGATTCTTAAGAAAAGATGATTTACAGATGTCCATTATATATTAGTTTTTGCAAAGACTGCTTCATACCCAGCCTTCCATTGCAGCAAGGTCTTTTCACAAACAGCTTAAGATAGAGGAAAGTTCTGTTGTTTCTCTGGAAATAAAATCTAAGCTAAGAGAGCACTTTCTATTTCATAAATACATTCTCTAAAGCATTCTGCAGAATGACGATTTAACTCCCCCCCCCCCTCCCATCCAAAATGGTTTATTTCCATTTGTCTACTTCTTTGCTGGGTACAGAAAAGATAAAATAGTGATTCTTTACATAATGCTGGCTGACGGTTTCCAGGAATTACTTTTTGTTTTTATAACAGCACTTCCTAGCAATTGAGGTTGATATAGTACACTTCAAAAGGCCCATTTTATCAAAATTAGTACTAATAAATACTCTACCAAGCAATTAGGTCAAGAGAAAGTGAGGACTGACTGAAACTTGGCTTGTTCCACATTTCTCTAGCGAATAACAGTGCTTAGAATATTGCAGACCACTTCAAAATGGTCTGGTCTAGTGACCATCTGGGAGGGTAAATAAAAGGAAGCGTTAGTGTTTGGGCTGATTACACAAGGAATATTTCACTGGCAATTCTGGTCACAGAGCAAATAACAATACACGCCTTGGTTTCAGAATGATTCGAGGTTCCAATTTCCAGGCATACAATAAAAAGAAATTGGCATTCTGTATCATTTGCTGCCTTTTCCCTGCCCCACCATAAACTGGGGTTTTAAAATCATGGCTGAGATAAATAATTTTTAATGTTTTTTATTTTTTTTCCCAATACATACTGCTAATTCAAGCACTGACTTGCACTACAGCACTCACTGCGTACCAAAATGCTTTGAAGTAACTCAGAGCACAGTGTGCTGAGTGCTGCCATCAGAGTATACCTGATTCTAGTGGTTCTGAGTGGCTGTGGAGTATGAAGATTTCTGAGAAGCGGAACAAAAATAGGAAAGAAAAGTCCTTAACTACAGCAATTCAAGAAATGTGTCAAGACAGTTTTAAGTTTGGAGAAAACAACTTCCAGATTCTCATTAGTACATTTACTATTGCCTAAACTGAATGGATAAATATTGAAATCTGTTTTAAGATGAAACACGGTATGAACTTATCCTGTAACTTCCTGTGCACAATGAGGAAAAAAATAACAACAGAAAAGCAGTTCAGCAGTGATTCAATATCTAAGGCACGCACCTGATGTAGGCAATGCAAAAGACTCTGAAAGGTGCCTCTTGAAAGGTGGTTTTGTATTTTCAGGCTTGCTGTGCGAGGTCACATTCACCTGATTCTTACTTCCTTCCAAACCCTGAAGAGCAATTCCAATGCCAGAATGACTCCCTGGATTTTCAGGCCCTACATGAAGAGCTCTCTGAGAACTGTCAGTCTTTCGAAACTTAAACTTTGAAGGCAGAAGTGACATGCTGTTACAGGAACTGTTATTTGGCATCTTTCCTGTATTATACAAAAGATGCTGGCTCTCTGACGATTTGCTACACAAAATGTTTATTGCATTAGCTGGGCTTGCTTCAGAACTAGTTTCTTTTGCCGGCACAGAGTTTGACCTATGCCATTTTCCTGAAGCACTCCTTCTAGTATCTTCGGAAGCAGCTTGATGATAGTTTTTTGACAGTGTGTATTTACTCTTCGCTGAAGTACCAGAGGTCGCTGTTAGAGGATTCAGTACGTTTTTACAGTTTGCTACGTGCCCTGTTGCAGTCAGCCCATGTGTAACCCTTAAGTTCCTAGAGTTGTCTAATGAACGACCATCCTGCTGTGCATTTCTTTGTTGTGCTGAGGGGTGATCAGATAGTCCTGGTTTAGATGCTGCAAAGCCACTGTCAGCATTTGATCTGGATTGAATACTGGCTCCTTGTATTGTTTTAGTTCTTTCGCTTCCTTGTTTAACATCCTGGTTCTGAGTCTGCTTTTCTACATCATCACATACCTGATACAATAATTCATCGTCCTCGCAGTTTGCATCCCAAAGACTATCAGATTCACAAAACATGTCTAAAACCTCATCAGAGAATTTTGGTTCATTCCAGTCATCAAATGACAGAGGACATTTCTTTGGTATTTCAGCTGGATTTAAGTGACCTGTATTGACATTAGGTTTCGTATTGGTAGAAACACTGGTTGACTCACAGAAAACAACGTGTGTGTCATTCCCTGGTTTTTCAGTCTGAGGTCTACGAGAATGAGATCTTGAAGGACAAAGAGGAACAAGGTTACCTTTAGGCTCAACAGTTCCATTTCCATTCTTCGCTTGAGACTGCATTGAAACAGGAATACAGTTAAAATCGTTGTTGGGGGCACTTCTCCAAGCAGAATCCATGCTTGCCATCTTTGAGTTTTCCATCTTATTATAAGGCTTTTGTAAAGAAAGAGATTTTGCAACATTTTGTGCATTTTTACTAGGATGCTTCAAAGGTGAAAACTGGAAACTGTTAGATTTGTGTACGCTCTCCAAACAAATTACTGAAGTAGAATTACTTCTTTCCTTTGTTCTGCTGGCATCACTTGAACCCTGCACAGATGGATTTATAGGAATTGGTGGAGCTTCTTCAATGTTTATCAACTCGGGATTTTGGGTTATTTGCATCACAAAAGAGTCATCTGCCAAAAAGTCTGTATCCCAGTCATCAAAATCATCATTAACTACTCCAGCAGGCTTACTGGAGACCACCAATTCTGTCTTCAAAGAAGAATTTTTTTTTGTCAGCATGTGAGTATCAGTTTTTTGAAAAGCCTGTTTCACACTTCCTAGTGCACGTAGGGTATCTTTTCGACACGCACCTGATCTGCCATTTTGCACGTTTTTAATTTGCTCAGGAAGGTGGTCAATCTCCAAGATACTTTTGTTTTCACAGAAACTGTTATTTAGAGAAATACCTGAGAGCCCTTGGCTTAACTGTCCACTACACTTCTGGGTAGAACAATCAAAAAGAGCATGAAGGGCTATTTCAGCCTCAAGGTCTATAGACTTTTGACTGCTAGACTGACGAGGCTCTCCTGTAGGGATGCCAGTGCTTTCTCCAACTGGTTTCAGAGACAGAGCAGTACCTGTTGCAGAAACCTCATCAAGGAGCGATTTCAGGTTCTTGATTTTTGATTCATCTTTGTGATCATTTAAAGACTCGGAGGTGGTCTGGATAAAGCCATGACTAAGCTTCTCTTGTTCATGAACAGCATCTAGCTCTACCAGATTTTTATCAAATTCCTTGGCCAGCTTCATGAGCTCCTCTTCAGGACTTTTTATTTTTAGATCTCTAGATTAATAAAACACAAAAGTAAAATAAAATAGAGAAGAGAATCAGACCTATTGAGAAAGTTTTGCTAAGTTCAGCTAAGCTACCCTATATGCTGTTTATTCACTAGTTTAACAGCTACTGAGAGTATGACTGAATCCTGCTGCTCTCAATGCACGCAATCCTTTAGATAACTCCCAGTGATAACCACCCAATTAACAAGATAGCAACTGCAAAGTTAAAATCTTTCTGTATGCTAATACACAACCACATGGCTCACTATGCATACTGAAACACCACATAGCCTTTTTACATGAAAACCCAGCTACAATGGGCAAGGCAAAACTCTGACTTACCTTGTACAACACAACTTTGTCCTGGCTCGCACTTTTACTACTCCAGGTGTGCAGGGAATAGCATCCTCACCAATCCACGTCCCCAGAAGGGAGCCTTCATTACAGGCTGCTTTTTCATCCTGGATGATTAGATTTATAATGCTTAGCAATTTGATTTCAGATAAGGATTTGACTAGACACACACCTTGCATTAGTTAACGTTACTAAATCAATTAAATTGGATCAAATCTATTGAAAGCCAAGGATGGGAGCTAAACCAATACAAGCTAAGCAAGATTACTCCAACACTGTCAACTGATAGTTGTATCAGTTTAATTGTATCAATTTAATGCTGAAACTTCAATTAAAATAATTGAATTTTAGTTTGGTGATTAAATCTAATGCTATATTTGCTTCCCAGTCAGGTTTACGAATAATCAGCAATATTCACATTACAAGCTGTGATTTAGTTTATTTACTTTAGTACACAAGTAAGAAGCTACTTAAGATACCCTTATCTTTATCCACTTACAGCAGCATTAACAGATCGAAGAATTTGAAACAGATCATATTTTGTATGGAAAAAAAAATCTGACTTCTTCCATTACAACTCTTAGAAAGGAGCCTTTAAACAGAAATCAAGGATGTTTAGAAATGGAATGAGCTCTTTTTACAGCTTCAACATTCAGGCTGGGATCTGAATTCCTAAATCTAAGAGATACACTACTGCAGCAGTACAGTGAGTACAGGGCCAGAGCCAAACACTGAATGTGAGGAGTGACTGCATGTTAGCCAACAAAGGTAATTTGAACTTCACTGACTATCAGGGTAGTTTTCAGTATGTTTCATTTTTCAAGAAAAAAAGAACGCAAGCAATATATATTAGAAAACCCAGTATGATATTATTTATAGTCATTATAGAACTGTAGTCATTTAAAAGGAAATGACATCCCTTATCAATGATTTTCTAATTCTCCTTTCTCACAAATATTCAAAATAGCAAATACATTTAAATGGCTCTGTCAAATAAATAGGCATTTTTGGCAAGCCACGTTCTACAGACTGTACTGGGAATGACAAGTTCTCTTCTTCCATCTAGTACAATGCAAACAATAGACTCCTATTAAAAGACTATCTTCTTTTCATTTTGCAGGCTGTGGATGTCAGTTTGACAGCCAGAAAGAGACGTCAAGAGCGTGGACCTTGGGGTAAAAAACACAAATTACTTAGAATAATGGTGCAGCTTTACTGCGTTTATAGCATTGAGCAGCCTCTCTTGGATCTCCGAGTCAGATGTTGCCAAGTAAATCCAGTATGTGAAGAAACTATACCTTTTAATGCACAAGTGATTAAGGATATGTAAACCACAATAAATCTTCTAAGATCAGGGGCAATAAGCTGAGTTCTGCAAGTAGAACTTCCTAAATGCAGCTGCAACTAGTCCACTTTCTTCATACATCTTGTTTTTTTAAGAGTCAAATGTTGAGCTTATGATTATAATTCAAGCCAGTTTTATAAACATGTTTCTAGTTATCTGCACACTTGCTTCTTGCCATGTATGTTAGACTACTGTAACTAAAAGGGAGCCTTCAGTAAAAGCACTGTTCTGTTTCAGTACTGCATATACAGAGCATTGTTTTAGAAAGTAACAATTACCTGAGGAGCAATCCTATTAACAATTTCTGAAATTTCTACTGCACATCTACTGGTAAGCTGTTTGGTTTTTCCTTTGCCTAAGAAAATAATAATAATAAAAAAAAAAACTTAAAAAATGGCAAAACTTTACAATTTATAAAGTTCATTATAGCTCAAATTACACTTGATGAAGTCCGAAGTTCATATAACACTATACTGAGCAATCTGGGGGATTTTAATAAAAGTAAAATCAAACCAAACACCTCTGGACTCACCAGGTGCTGTCACGATACAAGAAGGGGCATTTTTCCAATAAATTTGAACTTTTATCACAGAATCATTTGACCTGGAAGGGATCTTTAAAGGCCACGTAGTCCAACTCCCCTCCAATGAATAGGGAAACCTACAGGACTATCAGGTGCTCAGAGTTCCATTCAGCCTTAGCTTGAATGTCTCCAGGGATGGGGCATCCATGACATCTCTGAGCAATGTGTGTCAGTGCCTCACCACCCTTACTGTAAAAACCTTCTTCCTTATGTCCAATCTAAATCTCCCATCTGTTAGTTTGAAACTATTTCCCCTTGTTCTGTCACAAGAGACCCTGCTGAAGAGTCTTTTCCCTTCTTCTAAAACATTGCAATTGCATTCCCTTGATAGGCACCCTGAATTTTGTTAATATTACCTATTCCACGTGCAATTGGTGAATGAGGATCCCAAAAGATTTCTTGCTGTATATCAGTGTCATTAACTGGTGAGCTGAAGGTGGGTATTCTGGATTTCCTACTCAGTGATCTCTTTGGAGTTTTATGTAAACATGGCTCTGTGTAAACAGAAACGTGATCCTTATTAAACGATAACAAACACACAGGTGAAGAAACTCAGAATCGAACAGACCCAGGGCGAGGCACAATGGAGATGCTTTCACAGAATCATGGAATCACTAAGGTTGGAAAAGACCCACAGGATCATCCAGTCCAACCATCCACCCATCATCAATAGCTCTCACTAAACCATGTCCCTCAATACAAAATCCAAACGTTCCTTGAACACCTTCAGGATTGGTGAATCCACCACCTCCCTGTGCAGCCCATTCCAGTGCCTGACCACTCTTTCAGAAAAGTAGTATTTCCTAATGTCCAGCCTAAATCTCCCCTGGTGCAGCTTGAAGCCATTCCCTCTGGTCCTATCACTAATGGTACAAGAGAAGAGGTCAACCCCCAGCTCACTACAACCTCCCTTCAGGTAGTTACAGAGAGCAATGAGGTCTCCCCTGAGCCTCCTCTTCTCCAGGCTGAACATTCCCAGCTCCTTCAGCTGCTCCTCATATGGCCTGTGTTCCAGACCCCTCACCAGCTTTGTTGCCCTTCTTTGAACATGCTCCAGGGCCTCAATGTCTTTCTTGCAGTGAGGGGCCCAAAACTGGACACAGTACTCGAGGTGCAGCCTCACCAGAGCTGAGTACCGGGAGACAATCACTTCCCTGTTCCTGCTGGCAATGCTGTTTCTGATACAAGTCAGAATGCCACTGGCCTTCTTGGCCACACTGCTGGCTCATGTTCAGCCAAGCATCAATCAATACCCCCAGGTCCATTTCCCCTACAGTCTTCCAGCCGTTCTGCCCCAAGCCTGGTATGTAGGGTTGCCTGGGATTGTTGTGGCCAAAGTGCAGGACCTGGCATTTGGCCTTGTTGAACCTCATCCCATTGGCCTAGCTCTCCAGCCTGTCCAGATCCCTCTGTAGGGCCTCGCTACCCCCAGGCAGATCGACACTTCCAGTCAACTTGGTGTCATCTGCAACCTTACTGAGGGTGCACTTAAGGAAGAATCAAACAAAGCTCACAGTCATCGAGGTTCTTTACTTACAGGATGGGTTCTTTCCACTGCAGTTAATGCAGGACAAGATGGTGATATCACATACAGATGACAGGATGCTGACAGCTGGATGCCCAGCATCTAACACTAAATATGAGGACTGCCTATCTTCTTACCCGAAGGAGTACTGTGTGTTAATGAAATGCTATGTAGAGCTATGTTTTGTGTCCTGCCTCACTCTGTGTCTTACACAGTAAAAGATCGTATAACACTGGTCTGGGTCAAAACACCCACAGGCCCCTGAAAGGCTCTGGGTCACAACTCCCTGCAGGTGCACCATCCACACTTCTCTGTGCCTCTCCAGGTGGGGCTGATAACAACAAGGACACAGCTGCGCACAACAAGCTCCCAGCTGCCTCAGCCTGCTCTTCACACGGAACCGCCTGCACAACTTCTAGAAGACGCCATCCTTACGCCAGATGCACCCTGCAAGCTGCTCTACGTCGCGGCTCCTCTCCTCCCAGGCCCTGCCCTCCGCGGGGAGCTGCTCGCCGCGCAGACGGGCGGGCAGAGCCGAGGCCGCTCCCGCCGTACCTGCCGCGCCGCGCACCGCCGCCTCCCGCGACGGCGACGGCCGGGGCGCCTCCCTGGCGGGCAGGCCGCGGCCCGCGCCGCCCTCCTCGCCTCCGCCGGCCGCCGCCGCCTCTTCCTCCGTGGGACGCTCCGCCGGCCGCCGTCGCCGGCCGAGCCCGTCCTCGCCGCCGCTCCGCCCCCGCAGGGCGGTGAGCCTGGGGCAGGGCTCCCTCCGCCGGCTACCAGGCATGGCGAGCGTTACGGCGGCGCGGCATCCACCGAGCCGCCACCGGCGCCGCCATTTTGCCGGGCAGCCCGCCGGGACAGAGCCGATTGGTCGCCGCCGCACCGCGCCGGGCCACCATTGGTCCTGCGGCGCGAGGGCGGACCGACGGACGCGGCAGAGAACTTTGCAACGTGCTCGCGCCGCGCGCGCGGCCGCCCTGCAGCCCGTGTGGGCGGGAAGCCGTGCCCTCGCGTTCAGCTGGGTCCCGCGCCCACTCTCTGCTCGGCGGCGGCTCGTGCCTCGCGCTGGCTCTTGCCAGCCTCTCTCGTGCGTTCCAGCTCTGTGCTGAGGTCCTCAGGGTGTGCAGGGAGCGCCCTCAGAGAGGGAAAAACAAAAATCAGGCAGGAATAAGCGGTTCCAGCCCTGCGTGGGAGCTGGGGCTGGCAAACAGAGGCTGCCAGAAGCCAAATTTGGTAGGTAAGGGACGGACGTGAGGTTCCTGAGGGGCTGTGATATTACATCGTTATTTAAAAGTGCAAGCACGTGTAGGTGTTACGTCATAAGGTGGGTATTTCCTCTGCAGCCCACTGAGTGTAAATGCATAAACATCCACCAAGCAGATAGGTCAAGGACGGACCTGCTTGTGAATTGCTTGCCTGCCTGCTTTTTGTTTAATCAGTTTGGAGCACTTTGGGCTCACACTTCATTTATAAGCTGTGAGCAGGGGGTTTCGGTTTGGGATCAGGTATGAGGAATTTTAAAGCCACAAAAGACTGATTCCCTGCATTGGGAAACCTCTTTCTACACGAGGCCTCAGGCAAGCAATATGCTTTTTTACTTCTCTGTCCTTGTGGACATAATTAATGCCAATGGAAGACTTTCTAACAAGGAAAAAATTAAGTAGCGTGCATTAAACAGAGGAACTGTTACACATGGAGCTAAACTATCGCAGTCAATCGCAGAAAGTTGTGACTTCGGAGTAATCACTGGTGTCGTACCCACCAAATGCAGATCAGAGACCAGGCTGAAAAAATAGATGTAGAATCAGGCTTCAAAATCCATTGCTGGATGTGAATGTGAGTACTGCCTTGTACTAACACCAGCATGGGTGTTACACCTTGCATTAGTGTGAAGTATGATAATGGTCTGCATAGCATATTTCACCACTGTTTGTCAATGTAATAATTAAAACCTGTGATGTACAACACTTGTACAAAGATGGCTTGCCTATCACATATACCAGAATGGTGCACCTTAAATTACTTGCCCTGTTGTTTCCAGGGAAGATGGATACTGAGAAGAGGCCAAAACCAAAATCTGCACCATACAGAAAAGTTCAACAGGTATGTGATGCCAAAAAAAGCTGCTTTCTTAGTGGGTATTTATTTTGTTGCAGCTTAAGAATTTAGCTCGGAGCTGATGCTGTTTATTCAGTTGAGAAACTTAATGGTGGAAGTTTGTGATGTTGAAGGGTTTCTCTGCGGAGCTGTAGCCTCAAGGAGGAGGGAGTTTACACTCCCTTGTTGTGGTACGAGCAGCTGGATCAGTGGCTAATTGTGAGCAGGCTGCGTTCCAGGGACTCGCAGCAAACTCCTGGTGCTGCTGTTGTGAGTCCTACTTTCACCTCAAGAAGGATAAATAATGGAGGAGAGGGAATGAATAATAAAGTTATTTCCGTTCTTAGTTCTGTCAACTGCCTGAGAACTTTTCATTGTGTTTTATGAAGGAAGTTTTGAAAAGGAATGAAACAAACGTGGAAGATCTGAGAAATTCCCCAAGAAATACTGATCACTGTAATTATAATACTGTAGGTATGAGTGAAAAAATGCTTCTCTCTAAAATCCTTTGAGCACAGAGCTTTAAAGTGAGCATTTTTTTTCTGTGATGGGAAGAATATGTAGTGTGAGGTTTTACAAAGTGTGGTATTCTTTGAGTTAATGTAACTAGCAGAGAAAAATGACTGTTTCTTATACTTCATCTTTCACGTTTGCTAGAACTGAAGAAAAAGGCAAAATAATTACAGTGATTTCAATGAAAATATTTGTCATAAAACAGAAGGTATCATGAGTAATTCAATTTGGCAAATAGTGTCTTTTTCTTTTTTGAAATACCTTGTGACATTTTCGAAGTGAACTATCTGGTCCTTTACTTCTACCTCAGTTTATATTGCCGTGTGTGTGTATATGTGCAATTGGAGCACTTGAGACCAGGTGACAACTAAAGCTTCCTGAGCCATCTGTTCCTTGGGCAGTTTGCTTTAAAAAGTTGGGTACAAACTTGGGACTCAATACAATTACATGGTATTTTAAATATCAAATGTTTTCTCCTGTGGAAGGAACAGTTAGAGATTATGTAGCTGAGAATCTGCCTGTATGGTGTACCTAAGGAAATTGGATAAATAGGTCAAGTCTCTCCTCTGTTTCTGCAGTTAGACTTCTGGCAAGGCAAGCAGCAAGGAAAACCATGGGCTTTCTAAACCTGTCAGAATCCGTCTGTTTCTTTGGTTGTGTTCAAAAACAAAATGCAAAAGCAAATGTCTACCAAAGGGAAACATGTCTGAGTTTATAGCATGACTCTACATGATCTGCAGTTCTGCAGACATCTTCAACAAATTTCAGTGGTCCTGAGATCCTGAGCCTCTGGCCACACTTCCTTGCACGGTACAGACTGCTCTGAGCCTTGTGTTTCTGCAAGAGTATTGTTCAGGGATGCTGGGAGATGAGCAGAGGGGAATTGAATGAGGTGACTTATGTGCCTGAAATCTCCCAGGCAGTGTTGCTCATTCAGAGCTGCTTTGGATGCTCCTGTGCAGCACTGCTTTATGCCTACTGTATCTGGCTTCCCATCTGTAAGAAGTAGATAACAGTTCTTGGTGCAGCATGTGTTCTGGGCTTACTCAGTCTGGAGAATAAAAGGCTCCAGGGAGACCTCATTGCAGCCTTCCAGTATTTGAGGGGAGATTATTAACAGGTGGAAGACCAGCTTTTTACATGAGCTGTTAGTGATTGGACAAGGGGGAATGGTTTTAAACTAGAATAGAGGAGATCTAAATTAGATGTTTGGTGGAATTTTTTTTTACTGAGAAGGGCAGTGAGGCCCTGGCAGTGCTGCCCAGAGCTGTGGTGCCCCATCCCTGCAGGTGCCCAAGGCCAAGTTGGATGGGCCCTGGGCAGCCCGAGCTGGTGGGGGGCAGCCAGCATATAGTAAAGAGGTTGGAACTGGGTGGGCTTTAAGGCCCCTTCCACCCTAAGCCATTCTGTGGTTGTCCTAGGAATAAGCATGGAGCTGTTGTGTGCTGTGGTGAAGAGAAGTCAAAGGGTTAAGGTGAGACATACGAATAAACACAGCTCTCTGAACCCAAAGAAAAATAAACTAAAGCATTGGTATAAAACTCCTAGTGAAAATAAAAAAATTCTAGCTACAATTTTCCACCCCTTTTTTCCCTCCAGAAATCTTACTCATCCATATATTCTCTTAAGAAGCCTTGGAGTGTTTACTAAAATAGAGCACTACATGACAGCAGATACTTTATACAAGTTCACTGAAAGAGATATGTGTTCTGTTGCCTTCTTTGGGACCTTAGGAAAAACTGAGAGGGTATCTGAAATGTTAACTTAATGGACAATAATTTTTTCCATCCATGGGGGAACACAGGCATCGTGCGTGTATTTTTGCTTTTATTAATAGCATTTTGATAGCACGGTTATAAAGCTTGTCCTTGGCTTGCCTTGAAATATCATACTGACTTCACTTATTACTTTAATTTTCCAAGGTGAAATGTTCAGAGAGCAGAAACTGGGGAGGAAAATATGGCCCAAGCAGTTACACATACCTTTATTTTTAAAGTGCTGTCCAGAAGGGTTTGCAGCCCTTTTTGCTGATGCATAAATTGACCTAGACAGTAAATGATACATGACCTTAAAAATATCTGAAGTAGCCTTGCTTGAGAATTTTTAGTAGAGAGTTATTAAATGTCAGAGTAATTTACACAAGCATAGCCTAGTTTATGATTTTGCATTCTTTTCCTCTTTCCTCCATGCCAACCAAGAACCAAAGGAGCTTTAAAATTTATACATGTATCTCCTTTTTTCTTCTTTTATCATAGAGGTTCGTCTGATTTTATTTATCACACTCAGGAAATCTAGTCAAATGTGAGAGCATAATGTAGCTCACAAAGGCCTGATCCAGCAGAGTACTTAAGTACCTGCATAATTTCATCGTGATGACATTTTCCATTGCTCATTAACTGGCATTTAAAGGAAATTTTCCATTGCTTGGTGTCTGGGCATTTAAAGTAAATTGTCAGCCAAAATGGGCCAGCCATTTTGAAGAATTAGGTCAGGCAGTGAACAGGCTACAAGCTGCAGAGGTCTGTCAGGAGTCCCAGAGGTACATGCCCCTTACAGAAAGCTGGTGATAGCCACTGGGAGGGCCTCAGCTTAGGTATTTGTTGTAATGTAGGCTTAATTCTACAGCTCTTCTCTGGTGCTCAGAGTGAAATACATCGAGGGCCTGCTTCTTAGCCGTGCAAGACTGCAGACACCACTGTTTGTAGAACTCCTGCTTTCAATCTTAGCTGGGCAAGGTAGCTTCAGTACCCTGCTGCCTGGAGGCACCTCATTGGCTGCTCCCCCTGGAACTTATGGGTAACCCAGGCGTCTCAACCTGGTGCTGGCTTGCAGTGGGTGGGCTTGCACCAGAGAACAACCAGGAGGAGCTGAAGCTGCCACGTCCCATCTGCTCACCTGTTTGCTGCACCTGGTCCTGCTGCCAAGCTTGTAGAACCTTTTACTGTTTTTCATTCGTGCCTGTTCACTGTACAGTGAGGACGTTCTCTTGGGTGATCTCTCAGCTGAGATGTGTCCTCTGCTATCTCATTGTTTATATGTGAAGGCAATCATCATGAGGGCAAGATCAAAAACTACTCATAAAAATTACTGCAGCAACATTTTCCTTCTTCATTTTCTAATCTGTTGATCCTGTTGTACTATAACTGCAGGCTATCAAGGAGTGAGAAATAGGGT